TTGTGCCGATCGCGTTAATATTCCGAGTTACATATTTGCCGATTCAATATATCCTTAAACAAACAAAAACAATCACCGGTTTTGCTCGGAACAAAACGCCGAGCGGCCAGCAACAGACAGCGCTATTAACGTTTTAATTGATAAAGGCTGAAAATGTTTCTTTGAATGGAGCGAGGTGAAGATGATGAAGGGAGGAGTGATTCCAGAGTGTAGCGGTGCGAGGGAAGAAGCAGAGAGAGAGAGAGAGAGAAGTGAGGTGACCTGCAGTGTGGTGAGTGGGTTGGTGGGTGGATGAGTGGGCGAGTGAGTGGATGAGTCGGTGAGTAAGCGGTTGAGTGGGTGAGTGTGTGTGTGTTTTTGCTGAGCGGAAGCGTAGCGGTTAGCGCGCTGCGCTACGAACCCGGCGACCCGAGTTCGATTCCCGCCCACGGCCAACACCAGTGACGATTATCTGAACCCGTCCTGGGCCTCCCCTAGGTCGGCTCAGCCTCAAATGAGTACCTGGTGCGGTGTGTAAACATCGCCACTGGGGAGACAAAGGCGGCTGGGCGTGGTGCTGGCCATCCACCCCCTCGTGTACCGTTCCGGCCTTCATATGTGCTCGCTAACAGCACTTGCCCCTACAGTTTGTTAAGGCTATACGGGGGATCTTTGTCTTTTTTGCGTGTGAGAGTGAGTGAGTGAATGAGTGTGGTGAGTCGGTGGGTGATTTCAGTGGGTGAGCGAGTGTGTGCGTGAGTGAGCGAATGAGTGTGTGCGTGAGTGAATGAGTGGGTGAGCGAGTGTGTGCGTGAGTGAGCGAATGCGTGAGTGTGCGAATGCGTGAGTGTGTGCGTGAGTGAGCGGGTGTGTGCGTGAGTGAGCGAATGTGTGTGTGCGTGAGTGAATGAGTGGTTGAGTGAGTGAGTGTGCCTGAGCACGTGAGTGGCTGAGTGAATGAGTGAGCGTGTGTGTGCGCGAGTGAGTGATGAGTGGTCGGGTGAATGATCGAATGTGTGAGTGTGTGCGTGAGTGAATGAGTGGTTGAGTGAATGAGTGGGTGAGCGAGTGTGTGCGTGAGTGAGTGAGCGAGTGGGCGAGCGAGTGGGCGAATGAGTGAGTGTGTGCGTGAGTGAATGAGTGAGTGTGTTGTTGTGAACTGCAGTGTGGTGGTGGTGGTGGTTGAACACAGTGCGGACGAGATACTGACCGAGAAGAGCCCTTCGACATAGGTACAGGAATCAGTGAGCAAGGTAAAATTTGCAGTAGCTGTAAAAAAATAAACCGGATAAAGTTGCGAGGTGACCCGCAGTGGATTCCTAAATCTATCTGTGCGTATTTCCTCCCAAACGAAGCCAACCCTGTCATCCCCAAATGGAGCAAGACCCTCCTGGCAAGGAGTCCTTGAGCCTCGGAAGCGTCCACAGACGGAGGCTTGGAGCCGTTCTGTCATCGCGCTACGAAACGCGCCCACCTGGATTTGACGACCAGACCACGGCTCACATCGGTTTTCGCGGGCGGCATCTGAACCCGTGTCTGGGCTTCCCCTAGGTCGACTCAACCCGACGCGAGTACAGCATCGCGCGTTGCGGCGCGTGAAGGAAGACAAAGGCGGCCTCGAGAGGCGCTCGCTAACAGCACTTGCCGCAACAGCTTGTCGCGACTGTACGGGGGGAACATTTGTCTTCGTAAGCTCACTTCAGTCTGTGCATGTCCACGTGGCATTAAAACAACTCTACATATCAATACAAATTAACAGGGGACCCCGGGGTCCCGTAAGCCCCCGGCCCTCGCAATTAAACTTCGTCGAAGGCGAGCGACACGGCGAGCTGTTCCTCTCGACGGGTTCTACGCGATGCGCTCGTCAAAGTTTCGTTCGTGAGTACGGCGATTTTGGCAAACGTCCGGTGCTCGGTTGAAGAACGGGAGGATTGATGATTTCTGGCGGGTCGCGGCGTTTATTCTGGACTCAGGGGTCTCGCCATGCGGTTCAAATGTCTAGAAACATAAGCACGTACATAATAATTTAGAAGCCGTCATCGATCCACTGCTGGATGAAGCCCCCCCCCCTCCCCTCCTCTGTCGGCCATGGGGGTTGGTTGAGCATACTTCACCGCGCTGGTGATTTGTTGAACCCGGTCCTGGGAATTTCCCCTTGGTGCGGTGCGGTGTAGTAAACATCGCCAGCACTGGGGAGACAAAGGCGGCCGGGCGTGGTGCTGGCCACCCACCCCCTCGTGTGCCGTGCCGACCTCCACAGGTGCTCGCTAAATAGCACTTTGCCCAACAATTTATACTGCTACACGGGGGACCTTTGTCTGTTTGTACCTTTGTATATATATATCTATGCCTTTGTCTATATATGTGTGTGTAGGTATGCACGTATGTGATATGTGTACATTCCAAGTCACGTCATATACGATCAATGTATTTGTATACGATATACAATGAATAAATAACTGACCTTAGTCCATCAGCTTGTTCACTTTTCCGGATTCGACATTCCAGGTCTCATCGGTTTGCTCAGCTGGTGGGGGGGGGGGGGGTACCCCATCTATATATCTATATATGTAAAGAGTATATTTATGTGTTCATCTAGCAGTGGATTGATCATGGTTGATGATAACGATAAGTGCATATGTGTGTATACGCTGATGTGTATATCCGCACATGCATACACATACACTTACATTCGCTGTTATGAATTAAAGCTAATCACACAAAGAACCCCCGTATAGCCTTAGCAGACTGTTGGGGCAAGTGCCGTTAGCGAGCACCTATGAAGGCCGGCACGGCACACGAGGGGGTGGGTGGTCAGCACCACGCCCGACCGCCTTTGTCTCCCCAGTGGCGACGTTTAACAACATCGCACCGGCTCCTGATTTGACGTGAGGCCAGGGACCGGTTCAGATAATAGTCGCCGGTGTTCACGGTGGCCGTGAGCGGGAATCGAACTCGGGACGACGGGTTCGTAGCGCAGCGCGCTCACCGCTAAACTACCACCCACACACATAGACAAAGATCCCCCGTATATCCTTAACAGACTGTCGGGGCAAGTGCTGTTAGCGAGCACCTATGTAGGCCGCCACGGCACACGAGGGGGTGGGTGGCCAGCACCACGCCCGGCCGTCCTCTGGCGATGTTTAGACACCGCACCAGTTACTCATTTGAGGCCGAATCGACCTAGAGGAGGCCCATGACGGGTTTAGATAATCGTCGCTGGTGCTGGCCGTGAGCGGGAATCGAACTGGGGTCGACGGGTTTGTAGCGCAGCGCGCTAACCACTCCACTACCGCTCCCACACACACACAAGTACACACACACACACACGTACACACACACGTACACACACAAAGCCAAATATGTCCATTAAAGACACCTAAAATCTTGGGGCAAGAGCTGTTAGCGAGCACCTATCAAGGCCGACACGGCTCACAAGGCCTGCAACACACACGCCGCCCGACCGCCTTTGTCTCCCCAGTGATATATGTTGTTGTTACGCACCATATACACATTTAGAGGCTGAGTCCATCTGGAGGAGTTCTTGAACTGGTTTCGGTCACCGTGTGAGCGATAATTAAATTCGTGGCCGCCAGGCTTGTATCGAGGTACCCTAACCGCTGCGCCACCGCTCCCCACACACACAGCACACACACAGCACACACACAGCACACACACACAGCACAAAGCACACACAGCACAAGCACACACAACTCGCTCCAGTTTTCCAGGAGCCCCACGTTGCAACCGCAATGTTTCGAGAAGGAATCTCGCTGCTCAAACGGCGGAGGAGAGGCATAAAAGTTGGTGCATGGAGGAGGGAGGAGGATGATGAGCATGGGTAAGGAGGAGGGGGAGGGAGGAAGGGAGGGAGGTGGAGGCGGTTAATCGTGTGTAAATGATGCGTGAGCCAATGCGCCTTTGTGTTGGAGCCGGGGGTCTCTCTCCTCTCGCTCACGCCTCCTGCTCTCCCCCCCCCCCCCCAAAAAAAAACCACAACCCCCACCCATCACTTTCCTCTTCACCAACGCGAACCTCCTCCCCTTGCTTCCTTCCCACTCTCCGCCCCATCATTGTGGACCCCACCAACCCCACCAAACCCTCTGTCCTACACCTCCAACTCCTATTCACCTTAAACGATACGAGCCAGTGGCGTGCTTGGCACGGGCCCTGGTGCATGGAATTAATTTGGTGGTCCCGTGCGGCCCCCGTGGTCCCTGACGCCATTGCACCGCCTTGCGCACTCGACAGACTACGCCTCTGCCCCAAACCCTCAACCCAACGGACCCCACAAAGTCACCCCGCCATCCTCTCCCAGCTCCCTCCTTCTACCAAACTCCGCGCTTAACCCCAACGAGTAGCAGCAGCAGCAGCAGCTCTACCACCACTCTACTCCATCCATCCCTCACTCATTGTCCCCACCCACCCCCACCATCTCTCTCTCGCTTCTTCTTCCAAACACCCCGAACAGGAGGCTCTGCGCTCTGCTTCCTTCCAGCGAATGCATCGCCTCCAAGCCACACCGCACCCCTCCCTCCAGGACCTCTCTCCCTCTCCACCACCTCCTCCACTTACCCCAACCATCACCGGCACCACCCCACTCTCACCACCAAGCACATCAGCCCCGCCTCCCCCCCCCACCTATCCCCCCACCCACCCACCCACCCCCCCACCCACCACACACGCTTGCACAGATTGAGTGACATTAATGGGCCTTGTAGACCGCGCCAATGATCTTCAACGGGTCCATTATTAATACTGTGGGGCTGTGGGGGGGGGGGGGGTGAGGAGGGGTGGGGGGGCGTCAGCGGGCAGTCCTTTATAAGGCCGGGTGCGTGTTGTGCCACTCATGATAACTGCATCGAGAGAGAGAGGGGGGCCCCAACTTACTCGACACTGCGGGGAACGAGCGCTGTGCAGACCCCCCCCCCCCCACGTGCGCTCCCCTTCTCTCCCCCCACTCCCCCACAATAAGTAGACAGACTCACAGACACACAAACACAGACACACAGACACAGACAGACACACAGACACAGACACACAGACAGACACACAGACAGACTCACAGACACACACACAGACACACAGACACACAGTGAGGCACACAGACAGACACAGGGATCACCCCCGCCGCTACCGCGGGACAATAAATAGACACACACACAGATATATATATATATAAAGGCGCATACGACACGGAGATAGACAAACAGACGGATAAGCAAAAGGAGACAGAGAGACAGACAGGACCGAGACAAAAGAGACAGTCACACGTAAAGAGACACTCACAGAGAGATACGGACAGGCACACCGACTTACAGACAGGGCGGGTATACAGACAGACAGACACACCAAGAAAGATACAGAGCGTCAAACGCTCAGAAAAAGACACAGTCAGACATAAGCACACAGCCGGGAAGATACTCAGAACGACACAGACCACCACTCCTCGTCCCGCCGCGTAAAGCTTTAACAGACTTTTGGGGCAAGTGCTGTTAGCGAGCACCTACACAGACACGCAACGCAGTCACAGACGTGCATAGATATAGACACAGTCAGAGACACGCACGCCACTGCGCAAACGTTAAAACAAACACACACACACACCAAAAAAAAAAATCTTCAACTCAAATAATTACATCTCCTCCCACCCACTGACCTCCTTGGAAAGAATACATTTTTATATATATCCGTGGGACCTCCTGCGAATTTGAGTTCGTTTCAGACACCCCCCCCCCACCACACCAGGCAAAGCCATGTCGGCATTCGCCAGCACCACCCACATTCTGTTCGCCGCTCAGGCCGTGGCGAGCGAACTTCAGGCGTTCAGGCCAAGCCTCTCGCTCAAGCCGTCCGGCCTCTCGTCCCTGGCCGAGATCATCACGTCGGACATACTTCACAGTTTCCTTTACGGCCGCTGGCGCAGCGCTCTCAACGAGCAGAGAGACATCGGCGGCGGCGGCGGCGGCATCGGAGGCGCCAGCGAGAGAGCCAGCGGAGCATTCAAGGCGGCGCGCGGCATCGGCGATGCGATGGTCTCCGGCGTGGTCCCTCCGTTTAGCTTCTCCGGAGGTGAGTGAGGGGTGGTGAGCGTGTCCCGTTGCTGTGTCTGTGGCGCAGAAGGTGGGTGGGGTGTGGGCACCGCAGTCGACCTCGTGGCACGTGCTGGGTCTGTCCCGGCGACCTCCTTGCCAGGGGGGGCGTTCGACCGGCTTCACGTGGCCTTAACGCTGCACCTAGCCTGGCACAAGCGCCGTGGTGACGTTACCGACACTTAGTGGCGAATGGCGGGTGTTGTTGTTACGTGTGTTTTGCGTGCGTCCGTGTATGTCTCAACTCATGGAGGGGTAGCGTAACGGTTAGCGCGTTGCACTACGAACCCGGTGACCCGAGTTCAATTCCCGCTCACGGCCAACACCAGTGACGATTGTCTGAACCGGTCCTGGGCCTCGACTAGGTCGACTCAGCCTCAAATGAGTACCTGGTGCGGTGTGTAAAATATCACTACTGGGGAGACAAAGGCGACCGGGCGTGGTGTTGGCCACCCACCCCCTCGTGTGGCGTCCCGGCCTTCATAGATGCTCGTTAACAGCACTTGCCCCAACAGTCTGCTAAGGCTATACGGGGGATCTGTGTCTTTGTCTTGCACTTGCCCCAACAGTCTGCTAAGGCTATACGGGGCATCTGTGTCTTTGTCTTGCACTTGCCCCAACAGTCTGCTAAAGCTATACGGGGGATCTGTGTCTTTGTCTCGCACTTGCCCCAACAGTCTTCTAAGGCTATATGGGGAATCTGTGTCTTTGTCTTGCACTTGCCACAACAATCTGCTAAGGCTATACGGGGGATCTGTGTCTTTGTCTTGCACTTGCCCCAACAGTCTGCTAAGGCTATACGGGGGATCTGTGTCTTTGTATTGCACTTGCCCCAACAGTCTGCTAAGGCTATACGGGGGATCTGTGTCTTTGTCTTGCACTTGCCCCAACAGTCTGCTAAGGCTATACGGGGGGATCTTTTTGTCTGTGTGTGTCTCTGGAGGTGAGATGAGTGCGTGTCTTTGTGAGTCTGTGACGATGTTCTCTGTCATGATGACGATGATGACTTTGTGGAAAAACGCTGCGACACTACATTGTCAGCAGCGATAGTTGTGGCAATTTGGCCACCACGAGCAACATCAATATCACCACCACCACCATCATCAGCACTAACATTACCACCAGCAACAACAACCATAGAACAACATCTGTAGCCGGGCGAAACATTTTAAGATTCGTACCACGAATGTGGAAGCCGCTTTTATATTTGAGCAATGAAGATCGATACATTTCATACAGCCACGCATACAATAATATGAAGAAGAAGAAGAAGAAGACAAATAATTCGCTGAGATTTTCTTATTTTTTCATTGAATGATTTGACTTCGATGTCAAAATCGTTGCTGTCAAATTCTATCCGTCGTTTCCCATGAACTTGTGAACCGATGTCCATAGCACTCGTCTGCGTCTCACCGCCATCGTCATCTCCATCGCCATCGTCGTATTCCTCCTCTGTCAAGTTACTGAGTGGGAATTGAAGGCTCGCGGTGGCATTCAACGCGACCTCTCGTAACGAGTCCACCACGGGTCGACTCGCCACGAGTTCCTTCGCCGAACGTGGAGCGAACTCGCTCCGCTTCCGCCATTTCACTTTGGTCCATTCCTGTTTCCAACATTTTTTTTAATGCACGGTCCCGGAAAAAGGTAGCAATTGAATGAAAACGGTGGCCGGGGAAATGTATGTACATTTATATATATATTTTTTATATCAGACTAAAAATCACAACGTGAACGTAATCCGTTCCAGACGTTGCTTTCCGCAGACGCTGTGGATTGTAACAACATCAGCATCGGCATGTTTCGTTAAAAAAAAAAGATTCACATTTAAACACGTGTTCAACTAACATAAAGAGCAAAAGCAGCGTGTCCTCTATTACATCGTCAGCAGCTTCATTGCACCTATGCTTTGTACGTAACCAGAAAAAGCTTAACGGAGTCTCACGACTCTCATTAAGAGGGTCCTGCCGTCACGTGTTTGACACGTTCCCACTTTAATACGCGTTATGTCATCACATCTGTCGAGTTTTAACGATCAGAACGTGGCCTGATCAGTCGACTGAGCGGAAATAACTTTTATTTTACTTACATATATACGTATATTTGAATTTCACATCGACGGGTATGTACACTATATACTGCATTTTTATACTGCATTGACGGCGGTAACTTGAGTTCCATTCCCGAGCCAGGGCTAACATCAGTGGCGAGTGATATCCACATTTATCTGAACCCGTCCTGGGCAAACTACCACCTGCCCCCCCCCCCCCTACGCTTCACCAACCCACAATGAGCAGTGTGATGAAGTAGGATCAAACAACTAAAGTTGATGATGATGCTGATGGCGATGATGGTGATGATGCTGATGGCGATGATGATGCCGATGATGATGATCATTTTCTTCCTCTGGCAGTAGTGGTAGTGATGCATATTTATACAAATGGCGTCGATTGATTCATCACCGTTGTTTCCATTCGCTTTGACTTTAAAACAACAAGCGCACTTTTGATTTAACACAAAAAAAATCCTAAGCGCAATGAAAAAAACCCCCCAAGATTCGACTTTACACAAATCCAGTAACCATTCGCCCCCCCACGGAGAGTTCTTCCCCTCCAACACTGAGCCACCTCCCACCCCACCACCCTCATCCAAGGCCCCAATTCTCCACCCATCCCCAACTTCCAACCATGAAAAGTAACAAATTAAGTGGCACAATAGCGCTAATTGGGGCACTCTGCACGCTTCGTCCAATACTCATTGACCGTGAGGCACGGATGAAGGGGCAGTGTTTGTAGAAGGTGGAGAGGGGGGGGGCAAGTGGGGTGAGAAGGGGGGAGGGGGTAGGAGGAGGATGGGAGGGGGGATGGGGTTGGGTCAGATTCAATACAAATCGTGCACATCTCATCGCCATAGCTTCTCGTACCCTTTCTCCACCGCGTCCACACTTTCTGTGATCACATTATTTTATCACCAAGCTAAGCAGGACATTAGGGCTGGGATGGGTGATCACTCACCGCCCCCCCCCCCCCCCCACCTGTCGACGGGGGGGGGGTCGACACGGTAGTAAGATCCAAAGTTGTGTTCTTCTTCTTTGATCAGCGTCCACTCCCCCGTCTGCACCGACGATGCACCGAATCGGTGCGCGGTGCAGTGTGGTCAAAGAGCCCTCGCGCGTCGCGTGTGGGAGCGCCTGGCGCGGTGCGTAAACATCGGCGCTGGGAGAGACAAAGGCGGCCGGCCCGTGGAGCTGTCCAGCCCCCCCCTCGTGTACCGTGCCAGCTTTCATAGGTGCTATTCGCATACAGCACTTGCCCCAACAGTCTGTTAAGGTTTTACGGGGGAACTTTGTATTTTGTCTGTGTATATATAATGTAATTCATCGGTCCTTTATCGATCTATTGCTGGATGAAGGCCTGATCATAACAGCAGTCCCCCGCTTCTGTAGCTTAATTTATCCACCTCCTCTCAACGTGGTGTGATTGGTTTTATATATGCGTGTGCATTTCATGTACGCGCATGCACGTACAAACTATGTATATATAGCTCAATCGATGCTCGCTAACACTGCAGTTACTTTCTAGAGCGTCATATAATCCGCAGAAAACGATACAGTATATGTATATAAAATCAAAATTGTTATTTAGAGATTCAAAAATCGTAAAATTGTTAAAGCGAATTTAAAGTAACGGATATCCAATTCGATCCCTAATTTATAAGTTACGTGCTCGCGAAATTATGTATATTGGTTGGCCAAATAACGAGAGATGATGGCTGTATACATTGTGTACGCACATGCTGTATGTAATAGGTGCTCGCGAACATTCATATGAATGGATTTTCAATTAAAACTCGGGGCAATCGCTAAACTTGTTACACCCGTTTCACTACATCATCATCACCACCATATTCAATCCTCTGCTGGATTAAGGCATCCCCTAACGGGCACCGCCTCTCACGATCTTACAAAGAAAAAGGATCCCCCTCGTATAGCCTTCACATACGCGTGGGGCAAGTGATGTTACCGAACACCTATTAGGGCCGGCGCGGTACACGAGGTGGTGGGTGGCTATCACCACGCACAGCCACCTTTGTCTCCCGTGGTGGCGATGTTTACAGATCGAAATCAGTTACTGAGTCTACCCAGGACCGGTTCAGATAATCGTCACTGGTGTTGGCCGTGAGCAGGAAACAAACTCGGATCGTCTGGTTCACACACACACACACACGTGTGTAAAGCGATGCGTTTTCCCTATTATATCCGACGTTGTGCGCTGCACCTGCTGGCAGCAAAACGTCGGACATCGCGGCTGCACAACATCCGATTGCGACCAGGAAGCAACGGAGAGATACACAGCTGCACATCCGCGAACAATTTGTGTTAATAGGTGCTCGCAAACTGAATAATAATGTTCACTTCGTTAAACTAGATGGGAGTCGAATGGGCCAAGACAGTATGTAGGAGTCTGAGCCGTTTTACTTCTTCGCTAAAATGCGTTTAGTGGAATTAAATATACTTACACACATGTGTACATGTGTGTAAGTATATTTAATGAAACGAAACAGGTGGAACGAAACAGGTGGACTTATCCACAAATCTGGCTGTCCACCTGATGAAGCTAGTTGTAATTACTGGCGAAACGTCGTACTCAGATTGTAAATGTTGTGGCTTGGCTCTCCAACACACCGGTGTGCTGTACTAGTGACGAATTGGCCACGTTCTGTTTACGTGACAAACCTCACTAGTTGGCTGTGTCGGGTGGTGGCGGGTTTAACGACACATTTATATATTGACGCGATCTAACCCAAAAAAAAACCTATATTATGGATAATATTGGTCGCGAAAGCCCACGTGTTGAACATGTGTTGATGTTTTATAATCTTTGCGTGATACACATTAAAATGTGTAACGCAATGGATTTTCTAGATATATTTCTATTTGCTTTAAATTCTAATACAATCAGCTTATTAGAAAACAACAATCTG